CTTAAAAACAAAAAAACATTCAATGAGGGGAAAAGGGGGAAAAAATTTTTTTTTTTATATATGATAGAAAGAACTAGAGCCCAATCACATTCAAGCCCAACAAGCAATCTCTCTGTTTACAGAGAAACGGCCTGTGGGACTTGATGTAAATGGACTCCAGAACTTTCAAATGATATGCAGAGTGCGACTTCGCCAGAATGGAAAAACAGTCAACACTCAAACCAGCAACACATCCCCTGCTAGTTATAGCGTGTTCCGCTATAGATAACCCGGATGTATTCACAAGTTGGCTTTTGTTAGCGGCCGGATTTAAAATTCTGGGGGGTAAATGTTGTTTAATTCTAAAATCCAGACGCTGAGACGTTCTGCCTATGTAGTCACATCCGCAACCACATTTAAATTTATATATAACTGAATTAATATGAAAGGGAGGCAGAAAATCCTTGCGCCGGGAAGAAAGAATTGGTTGAGTAAAAAATATTACTCTCACATTAGCAGCATAAAAACACTTACTAACGGAATGTGAAATTCGCCTTGCTAGTTTTTCACCTTCTCTGCCAATGTAAGGAAGTCGTAAATAAATTGGACATTTCTTAACAACATATGGTCTATCCTTACTAAATTTATCAATGACATCATGCATAATGGAATCCAAAATGTCCAACGGATACCCATTTTTAGAAAGAGTCATTTTTATAAAGTCCAATTCACCGTAGAGGAAGGAATTTGAGCAAATTTTATGAGCTCGAAAAGTCAACGTTCTAATTAAATTAATTTTTCGTTGACGTGGACAAAAAGAGTCCCAACGGACATATAAACCTGAAAAGGTAGCCTTCCTAAATACTGAAGTCCAATAGCCATCATCACCTCTACGGACCAAAACATCCAAAAGGGAAGACAACAATTAGACTCCTTTTCTACGGTAAATTCTAAGGACGAATGAACAGAATTTAATACAGAGAAAAAAGGTGTTGGCTTCACCCTCATTATCAAAGAGGTAGAAAATATCATCAACATACCGATGATACATCAGAGGTCGATTAATTTGTGAAAACAGTAAAAACCTCATGAAACCAACAAAAATATTAGCAAGCGTAGGACCCAAAGGCGATCCCATCGCTACACCGTCTATTTGACGATACATAATATCACCAAAGCTAAACTCTACAGACGTAGTGGCGAACTTCATAAGTTCTCTAAATATACCCTCAGAAAAATCCGGAGGACGCAGAGAAGAGCGATACAACATATCACAACAAATCTTTACTATCTCTAACAAAGGGACACAGGTAAATAAAGACACAATATCAAAAGAGCACATGAAACCACCGCTAGAGGGAACACTGTGTATAGATTCCACAAATGTAAATGAATCCTTAACACAGTATGTGCTAAAATGCAACAAAACAGGTTGCAATAGTATTGAGAGCCAACCAGCAACCTTATGCTGGGCCGACCCAGTCATAGATAAAATGGGCCGTAATGGGACACCATCTTTATGTATTTTCGGCAACCCATATAAACGGGGACGAATTGACCCAGTGGGCCTAATATCTTCAGAAATAACAGAAGATAATAAACCACCTCTGACCCACTTTAATAATTGTCGTTGGAATTTGGCTTCTATTGAAGCAGTACAATCATGGGTCTTAACTGGACCTAATTTTAGAAATTTCGATGGATCACCAAGAATATTCTCCATCTTAGAAATATAATCACAAAGGTCCAGAAGAACAACACCGACACCTTTGTCGGGTTTAGTAATAACAAGATTATGGTTGTTTTTTAAACCCTTTCTTACACGACGGTGCTGTTCACCCCATTTAGAATCAGAAAAAGAAACAGAGGATCCAGCATAAGAATGGGCAAAACAATTAAGTTCCGCCTTAAAATCACTCAGAGACTGAGGAGAGCAAGACTGAGGAGAGCAAGACTGAGGAGAGCAAAGTTTAAGTCGATTAGACTGAGCAAACAGAACTTCAAACTCAGAAAATATTTTTTCACGATCCGGCATAGAAAAAGGAATACAAAAGTCCAGACCGTGAGCCAATATAGTAGCCTCAATCTGGGTTGGCTCATAAGAAGAAAAATTAAACACAATTCCCTCCGCAGTAGGTTCATGACTGCATCCAAAACGTTTGCGAACCAAAAATTCTAACTATTCCTTGCCATAATATATATATATATATATATATAGTTATATAGATACACACACACACACACACACACACACACACCTCACACATATATATAATATATAAAAGGTTAATGGTCGGAGCTGAATCAGATCAGGAAACAGTAGTATTAAAAAGTGCTCAATACACGTGTGAAAAAAAATAAAAGAAAAATGTAAAGATTTTAACTTAAAAAAATTACAATATCAGTTGAATCCACTACTTTGGTTTCAACCTTACGATATCCTCGGTCGATTTTTATCAAATGACCTCCAACTCTATATTATTTTTTAAAAAAATAAATAAACAAACGCACGACGTTGGGTGTGATACAAAGGGAGGAGGAGGATGTGAAGAAGAAGAAGAAGAAGAAGAAGAAGAAGAAGAAGAAGAATATTATAAAATTAGTGGGGGGGGGTTAACTGATATGTCATTTTTTTTTTATCCAGCATCATATGTGCTTAAGAGGATTTTTTTAGTAAGCATGCAAGGACTCATGACTTTGAATTTCTAGTTTAAAAGTTTCTTTGGATCCGGAAATGTGATTATCGTTATGTTTTCTGTTGGTAGAGGTTGCAAAAATTGTTATGGTTGTTATAAGACTTTGCCTTTTTAAAAATTTTCCAGCTTACAATCGGATCCCTGCTGGGTTTTGTTTTTTAATTCGACAGACGATCAGCAATTTTGGTAGAGCACCAAAAATTTAGTAGATTGAATGTCGACCTATGATTGTACCATCTACATTTGTAAGTACCTTCAGTACATCCTAGGTTTTATTATGGCCATTAATATCTGTTACTTCTACTTTATCGATTATTGCTTCGATTTTACAAGCTCCATACAATGGACATCTATTTTTATTTCTGCAGTTGCATAAATTACTGGCGTTTTGTCTATTTGAAAACCTCTTTGATCTCCTGATTTATATATATATATATATATATATATACACACATATATATATATATATATATATATATATATATATATATATATATATATATATATATATATATATACACGATATAAATATATATGCATATATATATATATATATATATATATATATATATATATATATATATATATATACCGATATAAATATATATGCATATATATATACCTATATATATATATATATATATATATATATATATATATATATATATATATAGATATATATGTATACATATATGTACCTATATATATACATATATATATACCTGTATAGATATATATACATATATATACCTAAATATATATAAATGAATATACATACCTATATATATATATATATATATATATATATATATATATATATATATATATATGTATACATTCATACATATAATACCCCCCCACATATATATATATATATATATATATATATATAGGTTGAACTAAAGATGGAGAGTAGGTTGAATAAGACTTGCATTACTGCCATAAGAGCAGACCGCGAGATTCTTGATGATACATTTACCGAATAATGTACTGGTCAAAGTGTTTGTGATTTGAAAACTTACGTCAGAGATGCTCTTCAAGAAATTAATACACAAAAATGCTTGTGCAAAAGATTTGTCGAAGCGTGGAAGGTTAAATTTCAAACCTGTGTAAATTGTGATGGACACCAGTTTGAGCTGATTCGCTGATAAAAATTTTCAGTGCATATATATATATATATATATATATAATAGAGTGAGAAAAAGAGTGTTGGTTGATTGTGTTTATCGCCACATGAGTTGTTTAATGCTGAAATCTAAATGTTTTAAACATAATTTTATCGCTTTTGAGCACAATGCTACACCTTCAACTATAGATAATTTGTACACAATTTTTACTTTCAGGATCACCGTATGTTTTATAGATATGTATATGTACATGTATAGATATAAATGTACATGATCTGTTGAAGGTGTTAAATGAGTTGCTATAAACCTATTTCTTTAAGGTCGGACATTATGTTGACGGTTTTTGTATAGTTCTCGCATATCGGTTTCCTTGTAGTATTCATGTCTTACAGGCGCTAAGTATTTTCAGCTAAAATGTTTCACCGTAACTTGGCATGTTCTAAATGTTGGCTTATCTTCATATCTCGACAATTATGATCAGGTGAGTTACATGTGGTGTATGTGCAGCCGAACCAACCTTATTTCAGCCAGAAGGAAAGAGAGATCAAGAATCTCTAATGCAAAAATTTGACGTGTTTAATGGTTATAAAATAATTATTTTATAAGTAAAATGAAATCTCTGTGTCATGCGACATTTGCATAAAATTAAGTTTAGTGTCACTTGTGTGATGGTAATCCTACTGACATAAATTTATGACTATAGTTTTCAAGTTTATTTTAGTCCGATGACATGCTTAAAAGTTTTGAGCCGAAAACAATTCCCCAAATTTAAGAAAATGTTATTAAAATTAGAATTTTATTTTGAAATCTCTTTTACATTAGGCCGAGACTTTTCAGCGCCCTCTCGTAATATATTTTATGTTAAATTGAAACCCTTTCGGGATATTTGTTAACAAGTACAGGCTGAATTAATATATGACAAATGGTAGAACAGATGTCACATTTTCATTAATGACAGTAATAATATCGATTAAAAAGACGTCAATAAAAAGATATATTGATTTCTCAGAGTGAATGAGCTGTTGTGTTTGCATGATTTAAACGGGCGCTCTTTGCGCAACCATAAATTCGAGTGCTTTGTCAGAAGGTATTGAATGCAGTTTGATCTTGGTTAATTCTACTATTCAGTCACAATGTTCGTTCAACCTGATAACTTTATTTTTGTCTTGTTTAATTCATCTTGATAAGAGTTGTGAACATGACGGTAATATCGGTAGAAGACTTGACACTCTATCTATCTATCTATCTATCTATCTATCTATCTATCTATGTTTAATTCCATCTAAATATCTGTTTACATTCATCTATGTACCTATGTTTAGATCTATCTACTGATTTATCTATCTATATATCTACCTAATTTTGTTCACATTTATCTGTTTGTTCACGTCTATCTATTTACCAATCTATCCATGTTTGTTCACATCTATCTATCTATCTATCTATCTATCTATCTATCGATCTATGTTTTTTCACATCTATCTATCTATGTATCTATGTATCTATCTATCTATCTATGTTCACATCTATCTATCTATCTATCTATCTATCTATCTATCTATCTATCTATGTTTGTTCACATCTATCTATCTATCTATCTATCTATCTATCTATGTATCTATCTATCTATCTATGTTCACATCTATCTATCTATCTATCTATCTATCTATTTATGTTTGTTCACATCTATCTATCTATCTATCTATGTTTGTTCACATCTATCTATCTATCTATCTATGTTTATTCACATCTATCTATCTATCTATGTTTGTTCACATCTATCTATCTATCTATGTTTGTTCACATCTATCTATCTATCTATCTATCTATCTATCTATCTATCTATGTTTATTCACATCTATCTATCTATCTATCTATCTATCTATGTTTGTTCACATCTATCTATCTATCTATGTTTGTTCACATCTATCTATCTATCTATCTATCTATGTTTGTTCACATCTATCTATCTATCTATGTTTGTTCACATCTATCTATCTATCTATCTATGTTTGTTCACATCTATCTATCTATCTATGTTTGTTCACATCTATCTATCTATCTATCTATCTATGTTTGTTCACATCTATCTATCTATCTATGTTTGTTCACATCTATCTATCTATCTATCTATCTATCTATGTTTGTTCACATCTATCTATCTATCTATGTTTGTTCACATCTATCTATCTATCTATCTATCTATGTTTGTTCACATCTATCTATCTATCTATCTATGTTTGTTCACATCTATCTATCTATCTATCTATCTATCTATCTATCTATCTATCTATGTTTGTTCACATCTACCTATCTATGTTTGTTCACATCTATCTATCTATCTATGTTTGTTCACATCTATCTATCTATGTTTGTTCACATCTATCTATCTATCTATGTTCACATCTATCTATCTATGTTCACATCTATCTATCTATGTTCACATCTATCTATCTATCTTTGTTCACATCTATCTATCTATCTATCTATCTATCTATCTATCTATCTATCTATGTTTGTTCACGTCTATCTATCTATCTATCTATCTATCTATCTATGTTTGTTCACGTCTATCTATCTATCTATCTATCTATCTATCTATGTTTGTTCACGTCTATCTATCTATCTATCTATCTATCTATCTATGTTTGTTCACGTCTATCTATCTATCTATCTATCTATCTATCTATGTTTGTTCACGTCTATCTATCTATCTATCTATCTATCTATCTATCTATCTATCTATCTATCTATGTTTGTTCACGTCTATCTATCTATCTATCTATCTATCTATCTATGTTTGTTCATCTATCTATCTATGTTCATCTATCTATCTATCTATGTTTGTTCACGTCTATCTATCTATCTATCTATCTATGTTTGTTCACGTCTATCTATCTATCTATCTATCTATCTATCTATCTATCTATCTATGTTTGTTCACGTCTATCTATCTATCTATCTATGTTTGTTCACGTCTATCTATCTATCTATCTATCTATCTATCTATGTTTGTTCACGTCTATCTATCTATCTATCTATCTATCTATCTATCTATGTTTGTTCACGTCTATCTATCTATCTATCTATGTTTGTTCACGTCTATCTATCTATCTATCTATCTATCTATCTATCTATCTATCTATGTTTGTTCACGTCTATCTATCTATCTATCTATGTTTGTTCACGTCTATCTATCTATCTATCTATCTATCTATCTATCTATCTATCTATCTATCTATCTATGTTTGTTCACGTCTATCTATCTATCTATTTTTGTTCACATCTATCTATCTATCTATGTTCAGATTTATCTATCTATTGTGGGTGTCAATTGACCTTACTAATTTATATTAGACGTAATGGTATAAAGTAATAATAATAAGAAAAAACAAGAAAATTCTGACAAGAGAAATTGTACAAATAAATGGATTTTTATATAATAAATGTACAAAACGATAGTTGTGAATGTTGTTTAAAATGATGAAATAAACTTGTCTTTTAGATTTTTCTGTGTGAGGTAATGTTCCAGTTTGATAGACTGCAAGTTGTAGGGTAATTTGTGTGGATTTGGAAAAATTCAGTTCAATGTAATATAGTTTGTATTCAAAATAAATAGTTCAAAGTTTGTGGAAAAAGCGTGTGTATGTGACTTACGTTGAGCTTGACGTTTGAGTATCTGTCGATTCGTTGTTTGTCGACGTGAGTTTAGTTTGCATTGAATGAAGAAAATAGACTGTGGTTATGTTAAAAAAAAAAGATTTTTGACTTATAGTCTGGATTTCGGTTGAAAGTTATTTTATGATGAGTGTTGTCACGTAGCGTGTAGCTTTTTCGGTTGATTTTCCCCACTCTCTTGTTTGTTGTTCATATAAGCAATATCAGTCACCTGATAGTCTCCAGAAGATTTTAAAAAATTTGGCGCATATGTACTTTTGATCAGGTCAAATTAAGGTTAGAGGTGCGGACGTAGTAGACGACATGCTATGTGATATATTTGAACCGATCAAATTACTTTTGAATTTTTTATAACAATATAGGATATGGATCCTATACTATCTATCCATGTTTGTTCACATCTATCTATCTATGTTTACACCTGTCTATCTATTTACAAATATGTTTGCATCTATCCATGTTTACATCTATGTTTACACCTTTCTATCTATTTGCCTCTATCTAATTTTGATCCAGTCGATCTAAATACCTGCTAATGTTTGGGATAGGGTCGATCATGCATCAGAAGTTAGTAAAAGTTAGGATTTAGAATACCGAATCACTATAAGCAGGTCTCACCTATTTATTCTACATAATCGTCCTATCTACTGGCCGTCAATATATTTATTTTTTTCTAAAATCTGCATTATTCACATGCTATAAATACTTTTTGTTCAAGCGTAAAAAGAAGTAGATGATTCTGTGAATATATAATGGATGATCAACAGGATCAACAGGACCAAGAGGATTCTGAAACGATAGAAGAAGAATACCTGGTTGGTTGATTTTGTTTAGCAGCATATCACCCTACATGGGTTATTTAATGCTGAAATCTAAATAATTTGTACGTAATTTTATGCTTTCAGGGTAAAGGTATGTTTTTTAAAATATATTTTTTTAGATCATAAAATCTATTGTTACTCATTTTATAAAAAATGTACTGTTGATTTTTATTTGGGGGTTCACTATTTGCCCACAGCTGGGACTCTAACAGGTGCTACCAGCCCGGGTCAGGGGTGGACTTGGGAACAACAGCAATTATGAGACTCTTTAAAACTTTCAATCTCCCGATCAGAGGTCCGGCTGCCGGATGTAGTTTATCGTCATACCCAGGAGGAAGAAGAAGAATATGCGGAAGAGAAGAAAACAAAACAATTTGGAAAAGAACCACAAGATCTACAAAAGAGATGATTTAAAATCAAAGTTATAAATTTCCATGAATTCCTAAACAAAATGCAATGAGTTGGTGTTAATGTTTTTAATTTAGCATTTAAAAATCCTTAGTAGATAATCCAGAATCCATCTTTTCTGCAAACTTCATTAATTAGTTCCGAGATGAAATTAATTCTGAGTTGAAATTAGTTCCAAGTTGAAATTAGTTCCAAGTTGAAATTAATAGATTCATACTCTAGATTTTAAATTCTCCAAAACAAAATATAAAGTATCTTACAATAAAATATGAATATGTTATATATATATATATATATATATATATATATACACATACACATAGATATATGTTATTTGATTATATTATGCCTATATATATATATATATATATATATATATATATATATATATATATATAATAGCTGGCCACTCGTATTCGAGAATACCCTTCTACTGGGGCAGCTAGCCAATCCCAATTGGAGACGCTCGCCCAGGCATATTTTTGTTTACTCAACACCCATAGAGCCAACCTGTGGTTTATACTGCAACTATGCTGAGCAGACTTTAGTTACAGTTTCTGGGAGAGAGCGTGACCAACAATTTGAACACGAGAGAGAGAGCGTGATCAACAATTTGAACACGAGAGAGAGAGCGTGATCAACAATTTGAACACGAGAGAGAGAGCGTGATCAACAATTTGAACACGAGAGAGAGAGCGTGACCAACAATTTGAACACGAGAGAGAGAGCGTGATCAACAATTTGATCAAAGCCACAACGCTCAAGCCCTCGGCCACAATGTGGCTTTGTGCTAGCACAGCTATCGACGGCTCTCAAGAGTTCCGTCTACCCAATTTGACTCACAAGGCTTGGGTCAGCTCGTGGTATGGTTATATATATATATATATATATATATATATATATATATATAGAGAGAGAGAGAGAGAGAGAGATTTTTATTTTCAACATCATCACTTGATAAGACACAGAGTATGTTGAAACAAAATGTGAAGTGATTTTATAACATACTTATGTTATAATTTTTTTATAAAAAATAATTATATATATATATATATATATATATATATTAACTTTTTTTTTTGAGAATAACAATAATTTTTCCAGATACAAGTTCCAGTATGTAGCCCATAGCTGTGAAGTGGAGATGAATTCATACGTCTTCTAACCCGACTGGAATTGGAACATGGCTCATAGATTTTTCATTCAGAGCCACTATTCATTACACCACCCGCACATTCTTGTAAATTATAAAGAAATTATATATAGCGATTTCTCATAATTTTTAATTATTTGGTAAAGAAAGAATCTGCTACACATGTGTAATTAGCAAACGAATGTGAACTGAAATCAGATATTTTGATAATTGCAATGGTAATATTATCCGTAATGGTAATTAGCTGTTTCCTTATAAGGAAACATTCAGCATTCATTCAGACAAGTAGCTACTACTACTGTCGGTTGAAATGTATGAAAATTTTCTATTGAAACAGTTTTTCAGGAAAATAGATTTCTCAAGTCCAGTGGTTGTTTTCGCTCTTTTCAGCTTTGGTTAAGGGAGGAGGGGGAGTTCCTTCCTAACCTTCTTTTTGAAGTCGTGTGGAATGTCAACATCTTGATTATGTCATTATTTTCTCTTCAAGTGACATGCGATATCAATTTTAGCTGTTACTGCGGTTGAAAATGATGTGTTGCCTGCTTTTTGGCACACAGTTCTTCCTTTGTGATTCTGTAGCGCCAGTCCACGAGGTTCGAAGAAATGTGGTTTTCATCAAGGCTACACTATCTCAAAGTCATTTTTATCGATTGATCTTAAAAAGCGGTTATATGCAGCTGAAAGTTTAGATATTTCTGAACGAATCTGACGCTAAAACATCCCTATGAAATTCTCGGCCTAATGAGACTATTTAAGAACGTGACTCTTGTTTTTAGCTTAATGTTTTGCTTTTGTCGATGTCAAGGCAATGGTTAAATTAATTTGAATTCAATCTTATGATGTAATGATTGACTGATTTGTTTTTCACGGCTTACCAACCTGTTGATTGATATTTAAAACCAGGAAATATTTTTAGAGTATAAGATTTTTTTAGATAATAATAGTTTAGTAATACAAGTCTTACTAATTAACCCATAGCTGGGGGAGAAGAGGTATATTCATATCTTTCCTAAGGTATTTGTGCGTAAGTGAACATAATAAACCCAACTGGAATTGGAACTCGGTTCTCCAATTAACAATTCCTTGTCATTAAATCACATGCACATCCACGCTTACAACACCTGACACTACCAAGCGGTCATCCATCTTGGTACTGACCAGGTTTGACGTTGCTTAACTTCGGTGATCGTATAGGAACGGGTGTTTCAACGTGATGTTAATCTTTTAGTATATTAATCTTTTTTATGCTGTCAGTAAAAAAATATTTATTTCGCTTATAAGACAAACTTTTGGAGAAAAAAAAATATAGCTGTGTATCTTTTGTTTATTCATTTACTACCTGTAGATGTCTACATTATGTAGGTCATTTGATCGAATAATCGGACACACGTCATATGGCTAACTTTCTGTTAACCATTACACAACGCCGAGGCTTGTCTCTATCGCTACTTCCATGGAAAGTGCTCGGGCGAACTACATTCCTTGGTCCCGCCAGTTCTAAACTTCACGGGTAGGACACGCCATGCCACTCACATTGTAGTAAACCATCCACATTACCTCCATAATCCATTGGTGAGAAATCAGTTCCACTCGAACCGCGAACCTCTTGTAACGGACCGTGGGGTTACGTGTTGTTAAATTGGGAACACGTGAGTTTATTCCTGCTAGAAGAAGGTCCACTATAAGAACATGGCGGACTCAGAGACTGAATCCACCATAAAGAAGTATAAAGAAAACCAACAAGACCGATATATATATATATATATATACAGCAAGTATATGTATTAAACAACACAATTTTAAAATGGACAAAGACATTAACATTTGTGCTTGTGCGTGAACATAAAGAGTTTGTATTTTGATGAATGTTCGTACGTACGTATGTGTGTATAATGTTCATGGCGTCTCCCACAAATGGGAAGACGTAATCTTCTGCGAGAACTTACATTGTAGATGTGTTCGCTGAAAATGAAGAAATGAAAAAGAGAACGAGGCAAGAAATCGCCTAGTATTTATAGTGTAGGGAGAGCGTCCCCTAGTGAACAATTTGGACAATTAAGGAGGAACCGACTCCCAAGAGGATATTTCTCCGATCACTATAATCTTAACCTGTTCAAATCTAGGGTTAACTGTTATCTCCCCCTCCTATCCGCATAAACTGCCTCTTAATGTAACCCTCTACATCGAGTGGCCTTGTACAGGGTGATCCTAACTGTAAAAAAAAAAAAAAAGAAAAACCAAAAAAACAGGCTTGTCCTTAAGGTGGGGTTTGTTTCTAGTGAAAATCATTTCCTCCCTCTGTCAAAATGATGTGATCTAATTTTAGTGTGAAAATTCTTACTTGTGCCCCCTTACATAAAAGCGCCCCTCACAAACTGAAAACATTCTGGGGAAGAAGTTTACTTTAAATATTTATCCAGAGCCGCATTCATGGCGGACCGTATTCACTGCACGAACAAAATTTATTTACGAACCGTACCTTCTATCTTTATCAAAGAATCGCATTACAATAGGCAACCTCTCATTGTTGTCAATTTGTGATGTGAATTCTCGTTTCTGTAAGAAAATATTTAAACAATAAAAATGTGAGCAAAATAAGACTTTAAAATAGAACTGATTTTATTCGAAATGTCGCACTAAAACTCTATTTTACTAAATACACTTATTTGTTCCTATTTTAATTCTGTTGTATAGTAACGCTGTTGTCGTCTTTCATTGGCTGGCAACAAGTTAGCCCCGCCTACCAAGGTTTCGATGAGTTGTCTTATTAGTTTTGCGGAATTCAGAGCATTGAGTTAGCATTGAGTTTCATTTTTTGCTAGTAAGAGTCAATAATTAGAAGTACAAACTTATATATATATATATATATATATTTTTTTATAAGCGTTTAAAAAGTAGTTTATTCAAGATGGCTGAATTTCAAAACGGTTTGTTTGGATGCTTTGGAGACTTTGGACTGTGCATAATCACCTATTTTGTGCCTTGCTATCAGGCTGGTAAAAATGCTGAGGCTATCGGAAAGGATTGTTGCGTCTATGGTGGTCTCTACTTGTTTATACCTTGCATTTCTGCTGCTTTGGTTCGACAGGGAATAAGAGAAGAAAAAGGAATCAGTGTAAGACATTTTTTTTTTTTCTAATTTCAGTTTTTTTAATTAATGGTTAAATCTTTCTTCATTAATTGGAATTAATGCAAAAAAAATTCCGATTGACAGGTAAAGAAAACTGTCCAGTATAGTGATTTTTTTCCAAGCGTAGCTTAGATGTGGCACAAGGCCGAAAGTATGGGACACCCAGTGAGGATCAAACTCGCTACTCATTCGTAATTGTTCTAGCGAGACCAGCTTGCTAACCATTACACCGCCTAGGTCCAGTATAATTGCCTATTCAATTTTTTTTTTTTTTTTTTTTTTAATTTAAACTTTTTTTTTTTTTTTTTTTTTTTTTTTAAAAATGTTACTTGACGTCAACAGGATCTATTCATAATCGGTGGCGGTTTTCGGTTCATAACCCGGTGAAAGTGATGAGGGGAATATTTTTTTTTTTTATCTTTTCAAATAAATTTTTGCAGAAAACCTTAGTTGGAAATGATCTCATATTAGTAGGTATGTTTTTCTTTAATCTAAAGTCCCTGAATTCTTACCGCAAATTCGAACTGTTACAGTTTTGACCAGGGGTCACTGCAGCGATCTTGTGTCCCCCACCCCCATCTACTGCATCTCAATTTTCATGCGGTAGTATTCATATAAAATACAAATTTTATTGTAACCAAATTATATACAATAATGGACCATATGTAATATAGGCGGACAATTCAACAATGTATCTAAATAGAAATTAGAGACCTGTTATAAGAGATCATTACATCTTAAATAAATGTTTTGCAGCAATTTTTAACGTAAGATTTTTCTAGTTGAATGCTAAAATTAAACATTATGGATAAAAACAGTGAATTTTATAGACCCCCCCCCCACCGAAATATAACATGAGCAAAACAAATTCACGATTTGAACGAAAAAAAAAATCAAATTTTTCATCCTTTAATAGTCAGTTGTACTTGGGTAAATGTAGGTAAGAAAAAAAAATGGACATAACGAGGGTCACAAAGCACTGCCCGGGGAACCCAATTAAGCCCCCCCCACACACACACACACACTTCGGCTGGGAATAGTACGCACTTGTCCTGGTTTTCACTAGGCAAATGGAAGTGTTACGCTTGTTACATTCATTTACACACAAACAAATCTGACGTTACCGCCCTGATTTTTTTTCTTAATCACTACTTGCGTTTAAAAAATTTTTTTTTTTTTTTTTTCATTCATATTCACTTAAATACTTCGTGAACGTTGGCTCCGTTCTCCGAGTCTAGATCTATCCCGTGATGGTATAAAGAGGATTAGTGTCTATCTGAAAGTAATTTCTACCAGCTTTTGCACTTGTATATATATATATATATATATTAATATATTTATTGCTTATACGTTACTTCTATAGATACAAACATTTAAGTAAATGTTCTGTTTATAATTAACAGTATTAAACAACATTTACGGCAGGAATGTCCGAGATTACATATAAATGTATTATAAATTTGTAGATTAAGCCCCGAAAAACAGTTGCAAGGAAATTTTCCATTCTGGTGTAAAATTGCGTGATTATTTCGAAAATAACAAAAGTTTGCGGAAATGTACCATGTAGCAGATATCGACAATCTTATTCCAGCCTTATTCGCGTCTAGTCCGGCCGCCAATACTGGCAATATTTATGTACGTTTGCCTCGAGTAATCATGCGTGGAAGCTTACTTAGTTAATGGGCTTTTTTTTACAGATCTTTCTATCTTGTCTTGATTACTACGCAATTCGTGAAATTTATTTTCAAATGTGCAGGTTTTGCTTAATAGCATTTTGGCTGCCCTCTTTAATCAATTTGAACCCAAAAATAAGTGTTTTTTATTTTTTTTTTTTTTTTTTTTGGAGGGGGGGGAACAAATTAAAAAAAATCACTTTTACACTTTTTTCTTTTGTAAAAGTGAAGCTTTTAATTGAATTCTTTTTTTTAAATTGGTTAAAATTATTTAGAAAAACAATTACGAGTTTTTCTAATACCACGGGTGAATACTTCTTTTAAAAAGAAATGGTGTCTTAATTCTTTTGGTTTATCAAACATTTTTTTTTAAGTGAAGGTTTAATGACTAAAAGCTTTTGTAATTTTGCTTTTTCTTTAATCTTTATTTCTGTTTTTAATGATATATTTGGAATAGTGAGGCTTTTTCTTGATAGGGGTACTTCTCAAACTACGCACATTCATTTTAAAGTTCGCATCGCGTGCGCAATAATCAAGAGGTGAAGCTTCCACGCATGATTACTCAACGCAAACGTATGTAAACAAAGCCAGTAACGGCGACCGAACTTATGTCATCGATAACTCCTAAATGGTACATTCCCGCAAACTTTTATTGTGCTTTTCAAAATAAGCATGCAAATTCACAATAGAATGGAAATTTTCATTACAATTGGTTTCCGGGGCTTAATCTGCAACTTTATCTAATTGGTACCCCACCCCTCACTAAACACACACTCACTCCATATCAAAGTCTTTGATTTTTGAGGAAGCAATTGAAGATTTTGTTTAAATTCTGAGTAATATTTGTTTTATTTAGACTTTCGAGTGCATAATTTAGCCTGTTTTTTTTTTTTTTTAAACCTACCCACATTATTTTCTCTTAAGTCGGGGCGCGTGTCTCTTATTCATTTTATATATATATGGTGACATTGTACCATGTCTATAGTTATCTGGTTACCCTATGATTTCAGCTTCCAATTAAACTGCATATTTTATCTACTGCGTTTGCTAGCAATAAAACTATGTAAACTCCCAAACGCTAGCCGTCTACTCGCTTAATCTCATAAATCATGTTTGGCGGCAAATTTGCTCCATCATTATTTAGCCTTGTTAACCCTGTAGGCTCTCTCGTAAAGTAACGCCACGGCTGTAGCTTCCGCAGGAAACCGGTTCTCTCACCAGGTGGAGTTGCTAGCCTCACGTCCAACCTGTTTTTGATTCTGATTTGTCGTTTAGAAAGACTGGTTGGCAAAGATAGGGAACTGTTTCCTCTGCAATTGTGAATCTGATTAGCTAGGTGTAGGATAGTCAGTGTTGACCAGCCTTTCCCCACGTCCTCTTCGGCGTTGTGTCACACATTAATGTAAAACATTATACAGTTATCCATGTTTGATAATATACTGGAGTGAGCCACGCCTACTTTTTATGATTCGAAATCCATATAAATCGATCAGTGGTTAATTATAGGGTGAAACCCTATCATGCTATTGTTCCTGAATTTTTTCTGTTTTAAATCTTCACTTTCTAGCTTTTAGAAAATGAAAGCAAATATTTGAAGGCAAAAAACCCGACTATACTCTTTATAAGTTCAATTTTTCGGCATTCTAGTAATTTGTGCTGGCCTACTTAATACGTCCAGCATTGACAATTAGTACAAGTTTTATTATATGGATAATCTGCCGTAATTTAGGTGTGTGATCCGAATTTTCTCTCTGGATTTACTTACATAGCCTTTTCTGTGTATGAATATGGCCACAAGGCAGCGGAGGTTTAAAATCGGACTGCCTTCCCGTGCTGACGAATTGTCTCTAGCCGAAGCAGTTGATTATGAGGGTCCAGTGATCAGCCTGTGTCCCTTAATCCGGCTTAGAACTGTAGATAGTCAGAGGCTATTTAAAAGATATGCAAGGGGAAACCTTTTATAGACAGTGGCAGCTTCTCTCCACAATCTTTGAAACATGTATAATGTACATTAAATACAATTACGTGTTTTAGAAGCCCTCCTGAATTTTTTTTTTTTTTTTTTTTTTTAATAGCGTTAAATAAAAACACTGTAAAGCAAGGTAAATTATATGAATTGTACATAAATACTGAATCTGTAACATTGTAATATCATGGTAATAAGGTGTAGGAAAATAAGTGAATATTCACCCACTTTATTCATTGTAAGGAGTTCCATATCTATTGAGGATGGGTGTCTTGGCGAATAGTTCACGAAATTAACACAATCGCTCTTTAGAAAACATGTAAACTTTGAGTACACAAGCGCAAGTTTTTTTTTTTTTTTTTTTTATAATTACTTGGAAATTGCAGCAAATAGTACACTTGTCGAATTTGACATAGGCTATTGCATAAAAACACTTATTTTTTTTTATTTATTTTTTTAAGCAGGCATTAATGATGACCTTTCACTCTTGTTTAAACAAAACCTGAATTTTCTAATCTAACTGTAATACTTAATATATGGGAAGTTACAGTAAGGGTATAAATTAAGAGACTTGCTAAACTAGTGACGTAATTACACTCTTTTGCTCCAACCTTGTCGTTCTTTTTTGCTTCAGACATTGGGTGTCTTATTTGATTTGAAACTTATTTTAGGAAAAGCTAAAATAGGTCAAAAAATGACTAAGATTAACTTGCCTTACGTCTTTCTAAATCCGAAGACAAATTAGTCATAAATTTGAAATTCTCATACTGTAATAAAACTTAAACATTTTGATCGTTTCAAAAAAAAAAAAAAATGCTTTCCAAGCAGTACTCATAAATACACGCATACGATATCTAATGAAAAAGTGACTGAATTCTAACCAATTCAAGCCCCTCCCTTCTAAGTAAAAACCAATACTAACACTAATGTAAAGTAAGTTTTAACAAGTCTTGTGCGATAAGTTAAAATGTAAACACTTGAAACTTCATACCTCGAATATATCTTACAAGAATATGCGTAGTAAATGAAGTGGTGTATACGAGGAAATACTTCAAAATTATACTTAAGAATTATTTGAATGCAATTCGTAGAAAACAAAATGTCTTCAGTGCAAAAGGAGCGTTAATTAAAACCCTTTCTATTTTAGTTGATTTCCTAATGACCGCCTTTGAAAATCGCATTCTCGTTTCGTTTTCATCAGATATTTCTGAACTGCTATGTAATATCGGTCCTCCTAAATGGCAGTAACTTAAAGCAATGGAAATGCTGAAAATACAATGGATTGAATATGTGAACAACGACTAAGTTTCATCGAGAATTGAAATAAAAAGGGCACTTATAAAGGGCTTCATTAAGACGGATCAAAGTCAGCAGTAAATAAATCAGTGTTATTGTTGAAAATTTATTTCTCTATTGGATCATGTTATTTAAGTTATGGCAATTAGGCGTGAAAAATAATATCGCCCAAATGTCCGCCAAATCTAAAAGGAAAAGAAATCATTAGACGCTTAAACTTTAAAATCGATCAAAGTTATTGGATCACCTTTTTACTTATCAGAAAAAGACTGTTGAAATTTCTAACGCATATAAGAGGGCTTAGAAAACTCACAGGGACAGAGGAAAATAGTGCATAACCTAACGAATGAACTTGTTGACAAAACAGAGATAGTAAAAAGACAATTTAATAAGAGCTACAAAAGACAAGAAGTTGTGGAGAGCCATGATCCTCCACGTCCTGAAAGGAAACGACACAAAAGATTGTGGGGACTTATGGCCACATCACGTTGAAATATCGGTTCACGTAAGATCACCGAAGTTAAGCAACGTCGAGTTTGGTCAGTACCCAGATGGGTGGCCGCTTGGGATATGCAGGTGGTGTAATGGATAACGACTCCGAATTGTTAATCGGGGAGCGGAGTTCCAATTCCAGTCGATTTATATTCACTTGAACGAAAATACACTTGGGGGAGGCTATGAATCCACTTCTCCGCCAGCAATGGGTTAATTAGTAAGACGTATCAGTAAATCATCCCCCCCCCAAAAAAAAAATTCTTACAGCCTGAAAATATTTTCTGGCTTTAAATAACCTGCAAAAGATTGATAAGCCGTAAAAAAACAAACAATTCAATCACTCAATGTAGGCGGTGTTATTTCTCTTACTATATCTTACAAAATCAAATTCACTGACATTAAAGGAACACGTATTCTTTACAAAGAATAAAATTAACAGGAGTTATGCACAAATGAATTTTAATTTATTTTATTTTCCGAATGTTAGTTACTATCTTACTGACGTTATCTGGACTGTTTGTGCTACACGAACGACAGTCAGATCAGACAACCGACGTCTGCAGGGGCCAATGTTCTACGTTTGTAGGTATAAAAATGTAGCCACTGATGTTCGTCTGGTGGCATTTTTATATAATAGCATCTAAGAAAAGAATAAATATATATTTAGTGTTAAACTATTTTTTTTTTTTTAATTTGCTGTATACTTTATATGGGCGTGGAAAGACACTAGGGATGTGGCCAGAGAGCAAAGAATGGGAGTAACTAGGAAAAATCTAGAAACTACTGATCTTCGATCAGCTCGCACAGATCAAACCGTTCGAACAGAGAACTGTATGATAAGCCTCACGCAATAAGTACAAAGTTAGTTTCATTAATTCGTTATTTCCGGCTATCGTTCTTTATTAATAACCGCGTGGGGGATGATCTCTTGCAAGTGAATTAAGATGAAATATTAATAAAAATGAATTGCTGACAATGTTTCAGCTGATAAAATTTAAAGGTTTCAAGTGAATGAAAACGGAAATATCTCTTGCTCATTAGTCACATTTGCATACACTTTACACACAAAATTGAACCCCGTCCTGAGAAAGACGATAAAATATATCTGCGTTCTGGATATGATTGTTGTTTTTTTTTTTTTTTTTTTTTTTAAGCCATCGGAAAGACTTCTATTGATTTTTTTGCAAATAGTGCGAGAAGAAAAGTATGTTGAACAATTTCTCCAAAGATGACGGAAGACCTGAAGCAACAGAAATATCGTTCTACAGAAGGATGATGAGAATTCCATGGACGGAGCGTGTAAGCAACAAGGAAGTCTTAAAGAAAATGGCAACAGAAAGAACGCTTATACTCAAAATCGGGAAACTATAGCTGAATACATTAAGAAAGAGTTGGAAAAAACCCAACCCTCACGGAGCATATTGTGGCAACAATGCCACTTACCTGACGAGAATGTGTGAATAGATGGCGGGGATCTTAGCAAAGATGGAAAAGATAAGAACCACAAAGGATATAATGTTGTGGAGAGCCGTGATCTCCTATGGAACAAGAGTTAGCGGGGCTATTATTTGAACTAAATCCAACTATCACAGTGTGAACCTGGGAACACCAGCAATTAAGAGGTGTTTCCACGCTCCTCAAAACCTCCCTGATCAGAGGCCTTGCTATCGGACGGAGTTTTTCTTACCCAGGATGGCCGTCTTTTAGGCAAATATGGTTAAATCTTTAGCCTTTTCTTCTTACCAGGAACTCTAACGCTATCAGTTGTCTTCATATTTGATTAGGTAATTCAAAATGAATCTGGCTTGGATGAAACACAAGTGATAGTTGGATTTAGTTCAAACGCTAATTCTTCCTGGGAGAAATTGTCCAACATGCATATTTCTTTTCGCACGATTTGCAAAAATCAATAGAAGCCTTTCCGATGGTTTAAAAATGGAATTGTTCACTTCCGTTACTGTAGATGTCAGAACTGGTGACTACTACCACCGAATAACCCGGTCGGGGATAAACATGACCGGGAGCCCCGGGCAGTGCTTTGTGATCCTATCTATTTTATCATCATTTGCCTTTTTTTTTCTCTCTCAAATTCGTGAATTTCTTGTTTAATCTAAAAAAAAAAACCTATAAAACTCACTATTTTTATGCATAACGTTGACTGTTAAATTTATTCAATTTTTTGGCGTTATTACACTTACGTGCCCCCCTCCAAATCCTATTGTTCACTGATCGCGAATTGGTTTGTTCCCTACAACGACTGTTAGCAAGCAATGTAGTCCATAGTTACAGCACCAGTCGATGCAATTGTCAATATTGTTGTAAAACTGCTCCAATCTTTAAAGTGGTGATGTCTTCAAAAACCTGTTGATTGGGAACGTGTTGAACACCAGCCATAATACTTGATTTGAGATGAACAGTAAAGTACGTGAAATGATGAATGTAATCGCTGCAAAAGGTTATTTCTTGGGGGAAAAATTACATCGCGGCGAAATATTACAACAAAGGAGGTGATGCGAAAGTGTAATAGCGCCCAATTTAACAAAAATCTCTAGAGGTTAAAATTTGCCACAAAACATTGTTGATTTACTTAAGATGGATCTATTATGACATATCTTTAACTTGTATTTATATACCTTGTATCTATTTTCAATTTTTCTAGTTAAATTCTTCCTCTATATTGCATATAATCCATTATTGTACATAACTAGTTTAGAATAAAAATTGTATTTTATATGAATACTTCCTTATAAAAAATGAGATGCAGTCCAAAAGTGTGTGTGGGGGGTGCTATCATACGTCCGAAAGTGGGGGCACAACAGCCTTCTACCGGCCCTGGTAGATGTACTTACCAGTCTTTACGAAATTGACATCATCTACTAACCATGTATAGTGTGTGACGCATGTCTGTCCAAAGGGTTTGTGTTATAAACTAACTAGCAATTAGTGCTGTTTCCAAAATTGCATAGCCGTACAATAGCCTATTCTGTAAAGTATTTTTAGTATATTGCGTAGGTATTTCCAACTTTAGTAATCCTGTCGAAAAATATTAAACATGTAAGAAGTGAGTTCTTAAAATTTTTCTTACTTTAACAATAAATGTTCAAATTACGTATTGCAAAGAAAAACAACGGTTTTAATTGAAGGTTGGATTAAACGGCTCCGAAGTCCAAATTTTACCTTGAATTGACAAAAAGCCATAATGGCCTCGTTATCTGATCGACAGAAAATTCTATATAAAAGAACTATATATTCAAAATAATCGTAACGTCAAAACAATTTTATGGGAAATAGTTGTTATCTCTACTCGATTTAACTACACCAAAAAGTTGTCAAATTATAAAATAAAAAATTGTATTTTTTTAACGTCGATGGCTCGGCCTCGATCAGGCCGACGGGCAGCGATACAAATTCATGTTGACAGTTCTGGTCTGAATTGCTTCCGTTTTTAAGTATGGTGACTCGTAATAAAAAAAAAAAATCAATATTTTACTTTTTGTATTTTTGTTGATTAAGATTTTAAAAAATAGAACAAACATCAGTTTGAAAAAAAATAATTCTAGAACACATACTGTCAGATGAAATGTTAATTTATAAATAGTGTAAGAAAAACTAATACATTTACTATTTTAGTTATGGAAATCAATTGCAAAATATTTCGTGGTTTTCACATGAGAAATATATCCACTATCGATTGGCCAGAAGAAATCTATGCACTATCCAAAATTGGCCAGCAGTAGTGAGTACGGCTACACTCTTGAAGACCTTGGTCAGTTAGGGAGGAGTTCCTCCAACAAGTGTGAAAAGGTTCTAGATGATTCGTTTCTTAAACTGTACATTGCAATATATTTGTTAATTCGCCTACAAACTGTATTACTTTTCTTGAAAGTGATATATATTTGTGCTTTTAATCACTGCAGGGATGACAACTGAAAGGCAGACAGGATGACGAGTCTGATCACTCGTAGTTAATATGTAATCGACAGCCGTGATATATTCTTTGCAATTAGAATAATTGCAGAGAATATTTTTTCCAATATGCTTGTATAGTTATAAAATGACATTGTCTTTTTTTTCTTTTGTTTAAAAACAAAAAAAAAATCCAATCCTGTAGTGGTATATATTTTGAAAAAAATAAAGACTTTCAAAATACCGTATTATTTAATCGACATTATAAAAAATTGGATAACTCTTATGTGTTGGTGTCGTTTAGCGAAGTCTGTACGGTAGAATATCCGATTAAAACCAAAATAGCGACGCAGACGGGTCTTGAGTCATGTAATCGCAGCAACTGGCAAGTTTTCTAGCATTAAATATTTTTTCAAGACCACGTCACACAGCTAGGCAATAATATTATAAATCTAAATGAAATCGGATAGATTATGTACCCTAAACACACACACACATACATATATATATATATATATATTATATTATATATATATTATATAAATTAGAACTGCTAAACATTTTCACTGATATTTAAAGACCATATACAATTCAACATGAAAAAGACGGACATAAAAGCAATACCAATCCAAACAGATAACAAATCTTTTATAAGATCAGCGTTCCGATTAAATACGATCACGTCGTCGTCACGTGGGCGATGTTGTGAAAACGTATTCCTAAAATTTGAGTATTTTGAATGAAAAACGAAAAGAATTTTATTTTGATCTAAAACTTATATGTACGTTTGTCGAATTGTATATGGTCTGTTAATTATGTTTTATGAATATGTCCTGAAGATGGTCTATTAGACCGAAACGTCCGACGTTGACATTAAACATTAAAACAGCATAATCGCATATTAGGATTTTTGTTTGTTTTTTCAGTATATTTTCTTGTATATATATATATATAATATTATAAGCGACTCCAAAAGTTTGAAAGCTAAAACTCTTTAAATTGCAAAAAAAAATAATAAATAAATAACACAAGCATGATAGATACAGATAAGGCTTCAAAAATAAACTTGAAAAGGTACACAGGACAGTTCAACTACTTAGGTAAACAGTATTCACTATTAACAAAAACCTTTTGAATACTAAAATTTCGGCATCCATAACAGTTAAGTGAACTTCGCGTAAAATAGGAACTACAATTTTTTTTTTCCCTAAAGTACCTTACACATTATATAGGGTGTAATAATACAAAGCGAAACATTTACACTATTCAAACTGTCCTCATCTTGTATTTCGCCCGCTGCACGCTCCGGCTTTTTTATACGTTGGAATTTCGAACTCTTTATTTCGTCCACAGGGGTAGATTGATCTAGTTTCACGTGTACCATGCCTTTCCTGGATATCTCGGGTATTTCTCTTTAGTAACTCCACTCTCTAAGTCTTTTTCACCACTGTTGCCGCCAGGTATTGAACTCGCAACTCTTTAGGTTAAGTCACTGGGTTACTTCAACCAATGCTTTTTTTCATTGGGCCATGTATCCTTTGGGATAAAAATATCGGCCACAGCAGAGGTGAACAATAACTTGGTGAGTTGTTACTAAAAGGAAATAACTGAAAATTTCGACCAGAAAAGGTCTGGCACGTGGAACTAGAACAATCTACTCCGGTGGACGAAATAAAGGATTCGGTTCGAAATTCCACCATATATCACCTGAAGGTCGGAGCGGATAACGGCCAAAACGTTGTGAATATGGCAATAAAGAAGAGGACAATAGTCTGGACAATTGTAAATAGTTACAATAACTTATCTCAGAAATACAGAGAAGGTAAGACATTGAGCCCCATGCGTTGTTTTTATTGTAGTAATGTTCTTGTATAAACATTTGTTTCCATAACAAAACAGATATTTATTGAAAACTTGTCTTTCTACATGACTCTCTTGCGGAACATTTGACGAAAAATATACTGTTGCCGGTGGGGGGGGGTTGTCGAATCCATGTAATTTGCTTTGTTTGTGGCTCAAAAGCAATTCTCTTGGCGCCTAAGAAGGCTTCTACATGTAGAAGTAACACAAAAAACATCTTTAAATAAAAATAACTTTATAATATTGACACGTTTATAAAGAATTAATAACCTGTAGCAAATTCAACGCTAGCTTTTTGAATAAGAATTTTTTTCTTCTTCTGACCTGTAAAGATCTAAATTTAGATATGACAAAACTATCAAGGTATTTTGGGTCAAATGTAATAGCGAATGTTGAATTCAAACTTCTAAGGTTCTACCAAAATACTTCGTAGTGTGTTTTATACATATATATAATGAGAGATAGTTATAACGTTCACAATTTTGGTCAATTGTTTTCCTTGCATCAGCGAATGACCATAAATTAGTGTGTTTTAGCGGTGGAAAACATGGGTTTCGAAATTCTTACAAAATTAATTCTCAGATTTTAATGAAAATTTCAAGATTTATTCACAAATGAAATTATTTTTAAATCTTTTATCTCATCCTCCACAAGCATTTAATTTTATGAAATTTGAAATTACGAGGAATTCACTTTTCTACAGCTTGATGTATTACTCAAACAAGTCTTTGAAGAATTTAAATCAATGTCTTTTTACCGAAAATGTGCTCTGAATCATAAAAAGAAAACATTATTTAATTAGAAAAACTTTTAATTGCTTTTATGAAGAAGATATATTGTCTTAAAAAATTTGAATAATGAACTTTTACAAGAATTTTTAATTAGAATAATTTATAAAGTTTTAAAACTAAAATTCTGTATTAGTTTGTAGCGGTTATTTGATTTTGTTATTAAAACTATATTTACTAACCATGAATGAAAAATCTCGGTGACTCCAGTATTTAAAAAATATATTTTTGTGTTAGTGTATAAACGTGCCAATTTTTGTAAATACGGACGTCCATACACGACACTGTCAGAAAATAAAAGCGGTAACTATAGTGAATTTAAATTCAAAGTATCTAACATTCAATAAAATATTAAATTATTTAGAATATTTTCTTAAATTTGTAAGATTACTGGTTGGGTAAAAATTATACAAAAAAAGTATTTCACGTCATATTCGAGTAATTTTTATGAATATGTCCCAGTAGAAAAAAAATTAAACTTCCCAAACATCAGGCTGTTCGTTAACACCTCATGAAAGGACCCACCTCCTTGTTAAAAATGCTTTTCTCTGATATTTTAAACTAAAAGTAATATGTTCCAATCAGCTAATTTTCTTCAAAGTTTCAGAAAAATATTTTAATAAAAAAAAAAAAAATACATTGTGCTGATAGAACTGTAAATATGGCTAAAATCAGATATTTTTAGTGATTCCCTCTCCCACCAAATAAATCTCATTGAAATCAATTTAAATTCGTTTTGAAATACAGCCAAGTGTTTTTCTTTCTGATTGGAAATATTGAATTTAATCTAAAATTAAATTAATTTTTTTTTCTTTTAAGAATGACTTGTCATTAAAAAAAAAATCATTTTAAACCTTAGATATCGCTTTTCTTTGTAGGTACTTACTTTATAGTATGTGTACAGTTTACAATCTTTAGCAGAACATTGTACAACAATGCAGTTAGATCATTCAATCCGGCCCTTGCAACGTTTGTAACTAATTTAATTTATTTATTTACAGGGAAGCTTCCTAGGAGATATTCTTACTCACTGTTTCTGCTCTCCTTGTGCTCTGGTTCAAGAAGGTCGGGTAAGTAAACGCCTTACTGAATTATTTGACTCATATTCTATACACTTGAAGTGATATACAGTATTGTTTGTAAAAGTATTTAAAATATGACAAATTAGACGTTAATAATTTAACACTGCATAGATTTATACAAAATGTTGTTAACACTATCGGAGTTAACTCCTCCTTAATTCCCTAATTGTTCACTAGGGGACGCTCTCCCTACACAATAAACACTGGGTGATTTCTTGCCTCGTTCTCTTTTTTACTTTGCATTTCAGCGGACACATTTCAAAAATGCGATCTCACGCAGAGAACTGCGTTTTTACCCACTTGTGGGAAAACACCATGAAACACGCATACACACGTACGTCCGCTACAACACTATATAATTTAATATATATAAGATATTTAGTGTGCAAACCCTAAATCAAATAACATAAAGGGTGGAGAAAGCGTAAGATGAATCTATTGATCTTTATATGGTCTTTATCGTTATACATGCCTGAAAACACAAGACGGAATCTCTCGTACGTAAAATTACATTTTATTTAAACCCGGGCTACAATTACCGTCGACCAATGGATAGTGTGGGCTTCAGGAGTCGCTCTGAATGTGACATCTGTATTCGTCCACCCTCACTTTTTGTTATTTGTCATAAGTTTCATTCCAGGAACAGCTGACCTGATCGTGTGTTGACAATGCAGGGCAGCCACCTTACATAGTGAAACGTGGACCCCCCCACTGGAACAGGTTATCTTGTTTTAACTCTGCACCTGGCTTCTCTCATCTGGGGGTGACATTGGGTATAAAAGACTATTCAAGAATAATCTGGGTGTGTGAGACAACTGCAGTTTTTGTGCTTTGACGATTTTCCGGTTTGGCTACTTTACAGACCAGAAAGTCCACAATCTAATTCAGACACAAATGACCTTTGACCACTGATTGTACAAAACATACGTGTACTTGGGGGTAAACTGAAAGTCTCCCATCATTTTCCTGTGATTTCTTTGGTTTGGCTAGAAAGAGCATGATATGCTTTGATGAGCTAACCCCAGAAGTCAGACTGTCATAACTTAGGATTTTGAAATTTTCCATGTAAGATTATTCTTGGAACTTTCCGTTTAACTGTGTTACATGTACGCTTAGACATAGTAATATAGATAACCACATAAAACACATTCTGTGCCTCTCTCTCTCTCTCTCTGCCACTCTCTCTGTCTGTGCCCCTCTCTCTCTCTCTCTCTCTGTCTGTGCCCCTCTCTTGCCAAATATGGAAATATTTCAAAAACCATTTGTATTTTACGGCATACTTATATTTATATAGTGATATTAATGTAATAAGTCTTAACTTAAAACAAAGCCAAGTTTTTGCTTTACTAATCCAGTAATACCACGCGTTAAAAGGGGTATATAACTTGCTAACGGACGCTTTGTGAGAAATCTGGAAGCCGTCCATGGTTGTGTTAACACCAAGTTGTGCAGAGTTTGAGGGTATTGACAGTGTTCAAACTGGTGATCGCGACAGATTGTGTTATTTCCCCAAACATTTAAGGTCCGTTCAGCATAGTTGCAGTATAAACCACAGGTTGACTCTGAGTGAAGAAACAATTGAGACTGAGCCGGCGTCTGCAACAGCGATTAGCTAGCCACCCTAGTAGGCATAGTCGGAAAACGAGCGGCCAGCCATACCAAATGTGTTGTCTTTTTCTTATAAAATTGATGCCCTAACTCTTCACAGTAATTTTTTCCTCGCCAACTTTTGCTTTACGGCAAGCGCCCCTTATTTTAGTGGCGATGAAAAAAGTGAGTTGCTTATCAGCTTATAAAGCTGACCTGACTTGAAATAAACAGCTTGACTACAGGCTACTCATATCTGGATTTGATTTCAGCAATGCTTCAGCATCCTTCCGACTTCCGTCATGACTCCACATTCTTGTCAGATGTTGTTATATTTGGCTCTAAAATATAATATACGACACAATCAGATGTTATTGTAAAAGAAAAAATTAACAATAAAATTTACATCGGCTCTTAACATTTTTAGAATATTTTCCTATGTAATAATATACCATATACGTGAAATTTTATGCAACTTGAGGGTTGATTTTATAATTATATATATATATATATATATATATATATATATATATATATATATATATATATATATGAGATTATAATAAATCTATCTCCTGAAGAATTTTAATACTAGTATTAAAACATGAAAGCTTTTTTAAATTATAATTTCTTATAATAATAAGCAATTATATTGCTCTACATTGTATTGAGCACTTTTTTTTAAAAAAAAGTAAATGTTACGAACAGTGGAAATTTACTCCATCTGTTCTTTCTTTCATATGGAGATATATGGGTATTAATTGGACTTTTTATTGACGTGTCGTGAATCTACTTTGGTATTCGATCTACATTCCTGCCTTCTAATATTTAGCATTTTAACCGATGTACGTGCTGTTTTATCGCTAGAATATTCTTAATAGAAATTGTTTTAAAATTTTAATATTTTTTTCTTATATATATATATATATATATATATATATATATATATATATTGTGTGTGTGTAATTAATGGATTTTAAAAAAAAAATCAAACATCTAGAAATCTTTATATTTAATTGTACACTAGTTTGGTATGATTTTACTACTACTAGCTTAGATTTTAAGATTTTCTATTGCTAGTCCAGCAGTTATTAATGTCACTTAAAAAAAATGATGACTACTCAAACACTTATAAATAACATGTATTCATGGCTTTGATATGTATACCACTAGGAGCTTCCGATGAGGATCGAACTAGCTAGAAATGGTCTATAGATTCAGTTTGCAGACCACAAATCGAAGATGACTCGGCTATATAAAACCTCAAGGGAAGCTATTGAATGGTAGGACTATATCGTTGAATATTTGCTTAATACTGTACAAATCAAAAAACATTGTCAATATAAAAACAAAGAACTAACAAGAAAATACTTGAAGCTGGTCTTGTGAATATTATATCAATAATGTTTATTCTGATGATTGTAAGCACTTCCGGTCCCACTAGAGAATGCTGGGAGCAAAACGTATCCAGCGGCAGTTTTGAATAAAGTTTACTTCTGTGTTGCTTCGATTTTTCAGCGCCCAATCTCGTAACTTAACTTTATAAATAAAAGCTGATGCAGAATATTATATAAGAATGGCCGAACCTGATTGTTGGAGAATATGCCCTACCCTTCATTTAAACTAACATTCCTGCCCTGAGACCCAGGTTTAAATCTCCTCGATTTTTCAGGAATGTTAACTCCTTCATGGGGAGGGGATCCTAGCGTACGGCACCGTTGACCCAAGCCGTTTGAGCCAAACTGGGTAGACGGAATTGCTCGTCGATAGTTGTTAGCACGAAGTGATAGTGACCAAAAGTTTGAGCGTATTGTTAAAACTGTTGCTAACCGCTAGATGTTTCTCACACCCAGAAACAAACCGAGGACCGCTCGGCATAGCATAGGTAAGCTCTGTGGGTGTTGAGAGAAAATAATCCACAAATGTGCCTGAGCAAGCGTCAGCAACAGGGATTGACTATCCGCCCCTAGCAGACAGGTATACTCTGATACAAGTGGCCAGCCATTATGGAAGTCGAATAATACTTGGAAGTAAAATTATAGGTCCATTCAAAGTTAATGGTGTAAAGGTAGACTTTGTAAGTTCTTGGACAATACGATTTAGTATGGGTCACAACCAAGAAACTATAAAATATAGTTTTAAGCAATAAAGTACATTCATGCAAGACTAATGTTTATTCATTTTCACAATGCAAAAATCTTCAAATCAAGATATCTAATCAAATAGAATTCTTCTGATTCATTACAAATAGACATAAGAATGGAAAATAATTTTGTGCCATGTCCTTTCAGGACGTTGGTGATCATGGCTCTCTGCCCTGTGTAACTCTTAATAAATTGTTTTGTTATTGCTCCTAAATCCTGTTCTGCCATCCAATTACTTAAGCCCTTAAGTTATGCGTTGTTTTTCTCTGTTCTCTTGTCTTCAATCTGTCCTGTGAGTATCAAGGCCTCTTTCTTCACTAGAAATTCCAGCTGTCTCCTCCAGACATTAAACGATCTTCAAAAATAACAAATGTCACGTCTATCGTCATATTCAGTCTTATAAAAATAAAAAAAAAACTACAATTCATATTAAAATCGGAACAAAATCTTCAAGTTAAAGCTATAAAATGTCAAAACGCCCATATTAGCATATAAAATAATTCAGTGATATTCAGTTAAATGTTTTATGGCCAATACGAAACTTAAAAAAATAATCTTCAAAACATTCTAAATGTTGAAACAATGATTGTACAAGTGTATAGTAAAAATAGTATATTTATGATGTAAATATTTTGATTTTTGCCTACATCGCTCAGTTAAACTTTCTAAAACATGATAGTGTGTATATATTATCAACTTGTAATGGACCCCTGTTTCGAAACTTGCTTTATCCTGTCAACATTGAATTATCTGACAAAAACTATAGCTTCTCTTTTTAAAAGCTTTCGAAAGCCAAGGAAATAAGATATTAACCTACTTCGATGCTCTGAAATGGTTTTAATTCGTCCAGGATATTCAGTTGCAGGAGTGTTCGTTGGAGTCACCGCTTGTGGCGTATCAAAAGGCAAGGCTGGAGAGACTAAAATATTTTTGTTCTTTGCTCCACCTATCGTGACTAAAATGTTTTATCTATATATTAACAGAATATAACAGGAATGCGACAATAGTTTGTACGAGCAGCGGAACGCACACACACACACACACACACACACACACACACAAAAGATAAAGTGAATTGGATTAAGGTTTTACTCGGTAGTTGACATGGTCGTCTTTTTTTTCTCTCCGTTCATAATTGTTACGCTTTAGCAACCTTCTCCTTCTGCTTGCTTCACTCTCCGTTAGTACTGCGGGACGTTCCGTGTTAGTACGGTTAAAAAAAAAAAAAACTTTTTTTAATTATCGTATGCTATTTAC